GAAAGAGGGTCCTGGGGCAAGAGTTAGCAGGGTTCATTGAAAGAGCTTTAAACTAAGTTTGAAGGGGAGTTAGAGATGAAACTAGGCTTACTATAGAGGACCTTGGGAGCAGCATGCCAGTGCTTGTGGGTAAAAGTGCTAGTAAGGTCTTGGAGTCTGTTTTAAACCTGTTTAAAAAGCATCTGGAATCATTCCACCACTAGTTTGTGAGTTTTTTTGACATCTCAGTACTATTAAATGATCAGCTTAAGCCATGTTTAAGGAAGAAATTGGCATGTGGTTAAAACATTGGTATGTCAGATTGCATGCCAGTGAACCTCTTATGATCAATTACAGCATACTTAGTGTGTAATGGAAACACTGTGTGGGCCTGGATCACAAACTCGATGCTGCAATTCCAGACTTATGTTTTTCTTTTATGAAGATTAAAATGTGTTATTCAGAATTGAGAGAGAACAGGCAGCGTTCCTGTAAACCAGCACTTTAGAGCGTGCAGTGGTTTTCAGCTCGAGTCTGTCACATGGACAGGTGTGTGTACATTGGTAGTTGGAGTGAATTTGGCATGAAGAAAGTTGACCCAAATGCAGAACAAATTAAAGTCAAGTTTGTGCAGTATGTAGAAATTGAAGCTAATCAAGTTATGCCTGCATTTTTCTAACACGGAAAGAAAAGATGGAAAATGTTTCATTTCTGTCCGTCATTTTGATGTTTTGACTTTCTGCTTATTCATTTCAGTCTAGCATTGCTGGATTTTTCCTACTCTTTGTCTACAGAAAATGACACTGACTTTAAAAAACCTAAAACACAATGCAAAGGAATTTTGTGGAATACATATATTTTTATGTGCAGAAGTAGTGAGTATGGGGGTTTGGTACCTGGTATCACATGTAAGTGTTTCTCTGAGGATTCCTGTGGTTTTCTCCTCTTGCTGCCTGGAAATCATCTGATTAAACTGTGCAGATTGGGTATGTTTGTCCTTGATTTTCAAAGGCCTGGCAGCAGGGTCAGAGCTGTAGCTCCAGCCAGGCTGTTGGTATCCAGAAATCTGAACGTGCCCACTGCTAGAGATATGTTCTTTAGCCTATACATGATAAAAGCATTGGATGTGCTGCATCTGAGTTCTGTAGCCTGCATTGAGACATGTGGCATCCACACACATTGTTTTTGTGTGCATAATGTTGTAGTTAGACCTACTCTGCCTGTAATGTTTGTAAAACCTTCTGCAGCATGTGTAAAGAAACGAGCATTTATATGTTCTCACTATTGCCTTCCTAAATTGGACAGGCGTTTTTGCGGAAGGGAACCCGCTGTTTAAATAATCACTGTTTGTTTGTGCTAATGAATCCTGAGGTGAATTAGAAAGAGTTCAGTTGTTTAGTAATTCCACTTAACACACACACATTTTTAAATCAAGTTTACTGTACTTTGGTAATCACGTCATTCCCTTACTGGTTTTTATTAAGCCAAATTTGTTCCTTGTAGTCTCTTTAGCCTTAGATTTTAAATTATTTGATTACAAAGTAACTGCCCGTTAAATTTGGAAGAACATTAGAAAGGAAGGGAATTATGTCTGTGTGTATTAATAGATAAATAGGAGAAATCAGAACATTTACCTTGTTTCACAAAAGACTTCAGTGGCTTTCCCAGTCTGAGAACTTGGTTTCTTTGCTTGTGGTCTCAGGGTAAAGAGGACAGGTCTGATATTTGCCACACCAGTTTTACAGCACATCAACCATTAATCTAAGTACATTTTGTTCTGTTTCACAGAACAGAGAACAGTAGTCTGCAGTCTTCCCCAAAGCCATACATCATTACCAATGAAAAATATAGTATCTAGAGCTGTTGGAAGTTTCTGTTGTGAAAGTTTTGAGGAGGAAAGTCTTAAATTCTGCATCACTATAGTGATAAATTGCTATCAAAAACAAGGGCAAATGAGACTGTGTTGATGGAATGTGTTTCAGTGGAAAAGTCAGGCTTTGGTTTAGTGCATACCTGCACTCTTTTTGCTCAGAACTGTTCAGAGATCTGACTGCAGTCAGTATGTGCTTGGAAAATGTTTTTGGTGTGATGATAGTATACTTAGAATAGCTCCTTGGCTATCTCTAAACTTTTAAATCTCACAGCTTCTGAGAGCTGGCTTGTCTTCCTTTGTGTTTATGCCACACACTGCAGAAGTCCAGTGGCACACTGGATTTGGATTCCTCCTTGAAAAGGTGGGAGCTGCCACTTAATATCTCTTTGGCCTTCAGTAGACCTAATGAATTCTGTGCTACAGTTAAAGATCCATCAATGCCTTGACAAACAGCACAGCATTCAACAGACTGTGCAGTATCTGTTCCCCTAAAAACAATCTCAGATTTCACTTAGGCTATAAATTGAATCCCTTACAGTTATACCTTCTGAGCATTTTAGGGCACTGTGGAAAAGCTTACATAGCTTCTCTGCAAAAACTAGTAAAATAAACCCTTGCTTCTTACAGTGTGACCTTTCCATACTATTGAAGGGTGAATGCAGGATAAACTTAGTCCTCCAACCCTCCCAAAAATGGAAGTGATTACAAGATCAAGAGTGAAAAATCTGTAGCCAATTTCAAGAAAAATCTCTTCTTGGTAAAAGGTACATGACAGCTCTATGTTTTCTAGCATTATACATTTAACATACATGAGGAGATGAGAAAGCTTCTCCCCAAATGCTAATTTTAGGGAGGAGTTAAGAAAAAAACATCACTCCTTTATTGGAAGTTCTGTTGAAACAGATCGGCTGGCAGATAAGCTGTATGTATCTATTCTAGACCTAACATAGTTTGTTTGTTGTTACATTAATAAAATTACTCCAAAGTCTTGTGACTTGACAGTGAATTCCCAAGACCAAGTTTACTTCAGCATTGAGTATTTTTACTCCAAAGGTACTTCCATAATTAAACATGTTTGTTCTCTGGTATCTTTTTGAAGCATCTAATTTTTCTTAAACAGAATGAAGATGGATTAACAGAATTTTTTGAAAATGTAGTAAACCAGACCCAGATGAAGCCGAAGAAAGTGATTGGCTGGATTCTAAAAGACCTGCTCGGTTATTTGAAACAACACTCCCTTACAGTAAAGGAAAGGTCAGACATACAGTGGTGAAACACTATGAATACCATGAATAGCACTGTGACACTCCATTGCTTGCTTCTGCTTTAGTTACTATCTGTGACCTTCATTCCTCTAGGCAGTACTACATAGGCCTTGATGCTGTCATCCTGAATAAAGTTAACCAAACACCTCAGAGAGAAGAGGACCGTGTAGTTAAGGGTAGTAATCAAAGTCTTCCTTCTTTGGAATATACTGATGCTAAGGCATGATCAGGCAATCAGTACCAAAGTTGAATATAGAGTATCATGAGGAAAATTATTAGCTTATCATGCTAAACTGTGTGGTCTTTAGGCTAGCAACAGTGGCCTCGATATATTGCTCCACCTTATTCTCTGAGGTAACTTCTACCCCCTTTTTTTTCTAGCCCAGTCAGTTCTTTTCTCCTGGCTGACCTTCTGAACCTTCTAGAAAAGAAAGAAATTTCTTCTACAGCAGCAAAGCAGGTAAGTACCTTTTTCATTTTACTGTACTTTGTTGCTGCTTACTCCATTTGCACAGCAATTTTATAATCAGTATGTACCAGTAAGCCCGTTGTGTTAGAAGGAAATTACTTAGTGTTGATGAAGGATACATTTTGTATCTACTATATACTTATAATAGATGCCTCGTGTATATAATTTTTCAGATGTCTCTGCATATTCAGCGTTGGAGGCAGAAGCCAAATAGTGTATTTAAGCAATGTGAACTGAAGTCAGCTAAATAAATCTTGCCAGACACTAGATCTCAGTTTCACAGTTGAGAGTCAGACCTGAGTGAAAGGTTAGTGCAAGCTAATCCATGATTTGCAGTTAAGCTGAGAGTATCAGTTACTAGGTACTGAGGGACAGTGAGGTTTACGTTCACAAGCATTAGCATGTGGAAAAGGATATAGTTCCCCCGAATGTAGTTACAAAAAGAGTTCTGCTTTGATGTACCCCTGAATCAAAAGTGGAGAGGTCTGGCCTTTTTGCCTTTTTTTTTTTTTTTTAATCCCTGAGCAAGTGCTATCATGAACCTCTCAAACAAGTATTGATGATAACGCTAGTTTCTCCCTCCTTTTAAACATCATCTTGCTTAGAGCAGTCTGAAAAATCAGCTCTTGATTCCTATCTAAAATTGTGAACTGCTTCTGATGGGTATGGTGACTGCTGTGTTTGTAGACAAAATCTGGAGGTTTTCTGTGATATGGAATAGTCTGTCATTCACCTTAAGTTGTTGCCAGCTTTTTTATGTGGAATGCGTTGTCTTCTCAAATTCATTATTATCCTCTAGATAAGCATGTTAGATGACTGCTGCTTCTCAGGTGTTCATCAGTGAAACTGCTCATGAAGATACTTAACTTGCAATGAAGATATTTAACTTGCCTGGCCTGCTTTCAAGCTTTTAACACTCTGAAATACACAGGATGGTTTTCCATCTTTCTAGCACATACTGATTTAATCCAAGTACAATTTTTGGAGTAGTCAGTTCACTTTTTTTTTTGCATTACTGTATAAACCAAGTGTAACTGTTGCAAATGTGGCTCTTTACCCTGCTTGGAGACAACTTAAACGCCTGGTTTCCTGTTGTCTTTTTTGGAGGTGCTTGTGTGGAGATGTGTGTGCAAGTTTGCTGATGACACTAAAGTGGGAGGAGTGGTTGACACACCAGAAGGCCGTGCTGCCATTCAGTGAGACCTGGACAGGCTGGAGAGTTGGGTGGGGAGAAACTTGGTGAAACTCAACAAGGGCAAGTGTAGAGTCTTGCATCTGGGGAAGAGCAACCCCATGTACCAGTACAGGCTGGGGGCTGACCTGCTGGAGAGCAGTGTAGGAGAAAGGGACCTGGGGGTCCTGGTGGACAGAAGCATGCGTGAGCCAGCAATGTGCCCTTGTGGCCAAGAAGGCCAATGGCATCCTGGAGTGTATTAGAAAGGGGGTGGTTAGTAGGTCAAGGGAGGTTCTCCTCCCCCTCTATTCTGCCTTGATGAGGCCGCATCTGGAGTATTGTGTCCAGTTCTGGGCCCCTCAGTTCAAGAAGGACAGGGAACTGCTTGAAAGAGTCCAGTGCAGAGCCACAAAGATGATGAAGGGAGTGGAACATCTCCCTTATGAGGAAAGGCTGAGGGAGCTGGGTCTCTTTAGCTTGGAGGAGACTGAGGGGTGACCTCATCAATGTTTACAAATATGTTAAGGGCAAGTGTCAGGAGGACAGAGCCAGGCTCTCCTCAGTGATGTCCAGTGATAGGACAAAGGGCAATGGGTACAAGCTGGGGCATAGGAGGTTCCACTTAAACGTAAGGAAAAACTTCTTTCCTTTGAGAGTGACAGCACTGGAACAGGCTGTGCAGAGAGGTTGTGGAGTCTCCTTCTCTGGAGACATTCAAAATGTGCCTGGACATGTTCCTGTGTGATGTGCTCTGGGTGATCCTGCTCTGGCAGGGGGGTTGGACTAGATGATACTTCGAAGCCCCTTCCAACCCCTAAGATTCTGTGATTCTGTGAGAAGCATTGGAATGCTGAGCAGTTTAGTGCTTGGGGGGGGTGGGTTTGGCACACCCATCATTTTTGTGTCTGCATTTGTAAGGGAATCTTCTGAACTCCAGCTTTAATTCTTGGCTTCCTTGTGGATGTAGGGACAGGGTACTAATGCTCTTCCATGGGAGTTTCTTGCCTTGTGATGTATTTGTGTGCCCGCACTTCTGACAGGTTATGAAATGTCAAGAGTTTCAGCAATGCCTTTCTTGTTTAATTACTGACTCCCTGCAACGTGCGTTTTGTCCTCGGTGTTCTGAAATTGGACACAGAGAAATAACAGCACTGTTTGCCATCACTGAGTGATGCTGTCAAACTGCAGAAACCTTGCCACATTTAGAAAAGTATTTTGGTTGCCTGGATGTCATAAGAATAACAAATGTTTGTAACAATTCTCAGCAGTAGGCAGATACTGGGGTGGCCTGAGGGCAGAAAGGGCTATATATACACAACAGCAGATGAACTGCAGCACTTGGGATGAGGAAGAATGAACTGTAGTGCTTGAGACAGATCCAACAAGAAAGGATGGAAGGGTTTGGTGGGGTGAGTGCAGATATGCCTACACATACATGCTTGCTTCAGGAAGGTGTTAACAATTTTATTTTTTTAAGAGGTGTTGTCTTCTGTTGCTGCTGGATAAGGCACTAAACATAGGCAGATAAAAGCTGGGAGCACTGATTGTAGACACAGAACACTGTATGGTAAGATGCATATGCCAAGGAAAGGCCGCTGTGTGCTTATATAATTACCATTTGGGTAATTACAGAGCTCATGCCCAACTTGCCATCAAATATAGCATCCTACTCCAGAGGTCTCCAAAGCAATTTCAGAGTGGTGTGCCTGTGCAAAGGGAAGAAGCTTAGAGCTTTTTTTTAAATTTTTTTGCAAGAATATCTTGGATCAGGGGACCTGCACAGGCAGGTGCTGTTGCCAACCCCGAAGACACCATTTTTAAACCCACAGTGGGAGGTGCCAGTGCTGCTTACCCAGGGCTGAAACCAGTCTGATGGGGAGTATGCCCAAAATGGGGCCTTGGTCTTGGTTCACACAGCTGGCAGTGAGTGCACCTCTGGCATAAGGGGCCTGCCTTTGACTTACAGTATTGTAGGAGGAGACTACTTCCTGGGCCAGGGAAGCAGAAACCAGCCCCTGCTGCTGAGAGCCATGCTGGAGCAACTCCACACAGACACCTTTGTCATGTGTTCATCAGGGATCTGTAGCAGGGTATGGAGCAGACCCCGGTCTTGTTTGCTTGTGCAGGTGCATTGGTCACCCACATAGGAACAGACACACTTGGCACCCCTTCTTTAAAGTAGGTAGCAGGGAAATGAGTACAGTACACAAACCTAAACAGAACCATCTGCTTTGACAATTACGGCTATACCATCTGGAGGACTGGACTCAGCCTGCCCCTCACTTTTGTCAGAGGCTGAGGGACAACTGCCAGACATTGAGGCTTCTGTCTCTGGAGCCGAGAGATGCCCAGAGGACTTATGGGAGTGGCACTGCCTGCTGCTTCCCTCCCACCCTTGGCAGCTAATCACTGCAGATAGCATTTCCAGTTGGAGCATTCTCAGGCACAGCAGTCAGCTGGCACGTTCACCAGTTGCAAAATGTTTGATATGATGCCCGTGGCAGCCAGACGTGTAAGTCCTGATTAATTCATCTTGACCAATGGTTTGCTGCTCTGCCTGTGTAGGCAGCGAATGCAGAACATCATTAAAATCTAATCACGCTCAGGCAAGAATCAATAGTAGAAACTACTGAGATTTCAGTAATGGAAATGAGGCCTGAGATGTTCGTTTTGGCTCTGGAGACTTCATAATTTGATCCTCCTGTTTGGTGCAGGCAGTTTGTGTAAATGAGTTGAAATCATTTTTTAAACTGCTTTCTTTAGATTCGTACTGCTTGCCAAGTGGAAAACCACATTTTTAAAAGTGCATCTTTGACAGGTCTTGGCCGCATTTCTTTCTGCTTTCCTACATACCTGTAAACAAGCAAGGGCCGTGGTAACATTGTTGCTTTACTAGCTGAATGGAGATGCTTGTTACCAATTTGAAAAGTACAGGCCATACAGATGTCACAGGGAAAATCTGGTGCCCTCAAGGTTTGTAATGGGCAAGTTTTTCTCAGTGCCAGGAGACATTTGGCATAGAAATAGCAGGGAATCAGAGCTGGATCTCTGACTGACAAGCTGTCCTGCCCCTGATCTAAGTTAGCCTGATGTATGAGTTGCTCCTGGGTAGTTCTGCCACGGCCTGCTGTGTAGATTTTGTTTCTTGCAGATTTTCAGCCCCTGCAGCCCATGACATCCTGATTGAATACATACCAGTCCTAAAAATCACATCTGCATTTTTCCAGGGGAGCAATATGGCTTATTCATTGTCCAGGCCCTAATTTGTGCTGCACTTTAGACTCTCCAGCGTGTTTTGCTGTGGGCTGTGCTGTGCAAAGAGGACAGAGCTCTTTCTAAGGGGTGACATACTGTCCTGGTGCCTCAGGAGGCCTCAAGGACAGAAGGCTCCCTGCCTGGTCCCTCAGGGAAAAAGTGGGAGGGGGCTGCCTGGGGTTGCAGTGGAGTGCAACAAAAAAAGGCAAGCAGCAGACAGGTTGAATCTTTGTTGGATGTATTTCTTTCTAGGGGTATTCCAGGTAGCACTGGCAGGATGATTTTCCAGTACTACACTAGAAGGAAGATCTTGTAGAAAACATCACTGAAAGCTTTACTTCCTGCACTTGTAACTCTGGCTGCTTATCAGTAGCTTTAATATTGTAATCTGCCTTTAACCCTCTTACAGGGGAAAAAACAAGATGTAGCTACCACAGTGCAGCTGTGTTTTTCCCCTCTCTCAAGGTCTCCAGCAGAGTGATAAGATGCTATAAAAAGCTTTGGGGTACCACTGGCAAACAAATCTCTTGCAGGAATTGTGTCAATGCATGGTTCTTAAATAGCTGTTGTGGCTACAAATGGTTTAACTGAAAGTCTCTTGTGCCAGAAGATTCTTCATGCTGAAGAAAATTCCTAGAGTAGTTAAGATACCACCCCACATCTGTCCTTTTTCCTAAGTGTCTTGCTGCCATTCTCATTATGTAACATGGAGTCTGAATGCCCCTTCTTGTCTCCCCATCCCAGCCTCTTCTTCACCCTACAGTGAGTATTTAATGTTGAAATTTTGACTTGACATCCGTATTTCTGTACTGGTACACAGCAGTGGCCCAAACATACAATTACATCTTCAGCTCAGGGTGGTGCACAAGCAGCTGTTTTAATAAGGGTTTTCTTTCTCTCCTCCCACAGCTCTGAAATAAAAGCAAAGGGAATACAGAAAATGACTGCCCAAGGAAATTGGTTTTTTATAAATGTTCTCTTCTCTCAAGTTTATTCCAGGGCAATAGCCCTACTAGAGCATAGGAAAACACACTGGCATTAACAAGTAATGATTCCAGAGGCCTGGGTTCACCCAGCATTTCAATACTTGGGAGGTGATGCATGGGTGGGCTGGAGCTGCTGCATTTATTCTGCTCGGCACTATTTTTCTTGTGCTGTGTCATACATACCCTCATTACAGTTTGCTGATGAGGACTGGTAAAGGGATGAGTTACCTGGGATTGGACTTGGTACAACAGTCAGCTAATCGTCGGTTCCCGGGCAGAGACATTTCTCATGGAAATGCATTTTCATAGTGTTCTCAGGCAGTTCTTGTGAATAATGAGACGAGCACGAGCACTGCCAGAGGAACAGCCTTGCAGTCACAGGCAGTCTCTGCTGTGTGCCCCCCTCTCCCAGCCAGGGAGCCGTGCCTCAGTGCTGCGAGGGGGGCTGCACACACCACACATCTTTGAAGAGGTGCCATCACTGGTGGTGGCGAGGAGCTCCCAGTGCTCTGGGAGGCTGCAGAGCACCTGCTGCAAACCATTAACCTGTACTCAAGCAGTCAGTGAACATGGGTTTTCTTATTTCAGGATGCAGAAAAGGAGGGAGGGCACAAAAGCTCTTTTTTCAGCGAGGCTCAGGATTAAATCTTGGGTTTGTTTGCATTTAGACAATCTGCTCTTGCTTTAACTAAAATCTGGCTTCTTGGATCACTAACATGAAATACTGCACTGATAGCTCAAGACACTGACCTTCTCTTACTCATGATTTTCAGGTGCTTGCAGAATTGTGGAAGGGCGAAGGGAAGACTCCTCTTGAAATTGTTAAAGAAAAGAAACTTGAACTGATACAGGATCAAAAAGAGCTTGAACAAATCTGCCAGGCTGTGATTGATGGACAAGAAAATGAGGTGATTATGGTGGTGCTGGGAAGCTTGTGCACTATGGCAGTCTGTGGCACTAAAAAGCAAGTTAAAATGGCCTTTTTTTTTCCCTTTTGATTGGCATTTGAGCTGTAGAGCCAGTATAGGAGCATTAAAGCTGCTGCTCAGATATTATCAGGTTTTTCTTCTCCTTTTTTTCTTTTTCTTTAGTAAGTGTTTTTTAGAAATTGAAGCATACACAAAATGATCAGAAGAAGAAATTACCAGTCTGGCTAATGTGCTAAGTCATTCTGAGAGACCATTAAAATTTAATGCAGGATAGCAAAACTGTGGGGATCTTTCCCTCTTCAGCTGTATTGCCATTAACCTGACCTGGCCATCCAGCCATGTAACTTTGATTCTTATTTCATCTGTTGTGATATCAGGGCAACAGTCTTAACAGTAAATCTTCTGAAGCTGGAGATGGAAGTTGCCTCCAGCAAGACATATATTAGTTATGGAATTAGAGACTGTATCGGAGGCTTGCAAGGCAAAAATTTTAATTGCGACTGTCGCTTCACCATATCCTTGTGTCCTTCCACTGCCAAAAAGATGAGTCTAGCTGGACCTCCTACTTGGCTGTGGGGCAGGGAGGAGATGGACCCTCTGTGGCAGCAGTATTGGTGGATCCAGAGCTGCTGCCTGCTCTGCTGCTGGGCTGTGGCAGCAGCACAAATGCTGCAGTAGGAAAGATGAGGGTTTGGCTCTTCCCCATCTCCTTGGAAGGACACGCAGCAGACCATGTAGTTCATTAGTCTAACAAGGTCTGAGTTGGGAAAAAAGGAAAAAAACCCTTATTTATCATAAAGGGGAGGAGTGGGAAGGAATCTTGACAGAGTTTAAAATCAGCTTTATAAAAAGGAAAAGGAAAACAAGTGCTTATATGTTCTCTGGAGCAAAAATGCAAAAGCCAAAGTTAATAGCTTCTAATATAAATATTGTCTAGATACATTTGCGATTTAGAGAAAAACATTAACATCTTTTGAGAACAATACCACCAACCCAGATCTCATTGGGGGATGCTAACAGCTCTGCTAGAGCTTTTGATGAAGAAAATGAGCTTGCAGTAGGTCGGCGTGACCTCTATCAGACTGAGTCATTTGCAGAGCCTGATAAAAGCTCTGCTGTATTTTCAGCCAGGAGCTCAAGTGTGGATAGAAAGACCATTAGAACTGATTGGGAAGTGCAGAAGCCAAAGGTCTGTAACCATGCTCCCATTGTAATAATAATGTTTTCTCCAAGAATATAATTCCCGTCTGTTTCCTGCTGTTTTAGTCAAGCCAAAGGCAGTAGAATGGCCTGACTTCCTTACTTGGAGGTGATCTTTGCCAAGGCAAAAGCTGCCTTAAAGGCCTGTAATTAATTGCTTTATATTGCTGTGAGAGCTTCCCTTAAACAACAGTTAGCTGAGTACTTGGCTGGGGGGGGGAAACCTAGGCCTTGCTTTTTGATAGTAACTTTCTTTAAAATGAGCTAACTTAGAATTGTTCGAGCCAAGACTGATTATTTTATGAACATCTGGTAATTTCTATCAGATCAGAAGTAATGAGCCCCTTCCATATTGTGATGTTACAGAGAAGACTTTAGACTGCCAATAATTTGGATATCATAATGAGTGGCAATATTTGCATTTGTGCTTTGGTATTGGCATAGTGGGTGGTTCATATGTTTGCAATCCTTCCTTCAATATCTGTAGATATGACATCCTATTTAACTGAAGCTATTGTGTTTTGGCCAGTAACTGACAACACAGAGAATGTCTTCCCTGCCACACAAACAACATGAAGGCCACAAACCTGCCTTCCAGCAGTAGCATCTCTTTTAGAAATGTCTGAAACTGTAGTTTCCAATGCTTTATTCAGTGTTTTTACTTAGCTTTTCAATATGGCCCTTGCTATTTTGGAGGTCATTGTGCATCAAACACCAGCTGTGTGATAGGAAGTTGTATTTCCAATCAGTTAATTAATTGCTACATTGCAAATAACATGCTGTTACAAAAACACCTGTCTGCTCTTGAAGGACCTCACAAATATTATCAGATAAGATAGTGATTTGATGCAAAATTCTTGTTATAACTTAACAGTATGTTGAGTAATTTCCCATTAGGAAAGAGAAGTCAATCTCATTTTTCTGGCTCTTTTCCAGGAAGCTGCTGTTCAAGTTGCAGACACTGTTAAAATCCAAGTGGTTTTGACTGTTTTCAATAAGAGGAGGTCTTGCTATTACTTGTAATGTCCTGCTGCTGCTGTAGGGACCTGCTGTTGTCTCATGGGAGAAGAGCAGTAGCTTATTGAAAAGCTGAAGGCAGTTTTTGTAAATAACATTTTAGCCCAAAATACAGTATTCTACCCCGATAGTCCAAAGGACAAAATATCCATACCTTGGCTGTGAATGATTAAAAATGTCCAGGTTTACTGTAACAGTGGTATCTGCTGTTTTGTTTTTCTTTAAAGGTTATGGCAATAAAAGCAGGAAATCGAAAAGTTCTAAATAAGTTAATTGGCCTGGTACAAAGAGAAACACAAGGACGATCCAATCCTGTTCTGGTGAAGCAATTATTAGAGAAGAAGCTGTCATTGTAGCCACCAGAGAAAAATGTTTTCAGAAAACGTGCTTCCTTCTATCTGGTTCACTGCAAATGAACTTCGGTGCCTCCTCGTGTACCAGTGGGATTGTTGGTTATACTTCAAGCAGCATCATGTCCCAGCCTACCCTGGATGGATCAGCCAAAGGCAGATAAGCAGAAGTACAGCAGGAGATCATACAATTTTATCTCCCTCATTTTGCTGTGGCATTCAGAAATGTGATTTCCACACAACCACGGGAAACAAGTTTCCAGAGGTGTCTGTGAGTATGCAGACAGCTGAAGCTGTATGGGTTAGTTTTGTAATAAACCAAGTGTAAACTTTCTAGCTTCCTTTCTGTGAAAAAGGAAATTCACGCATCTGGAATGCAAAATCAGGTGGTAATCAGTGTGAGCACATTAGTAACAATGATTAAGACAGCTAGCAGTAATTAAAAAGAGCACGTGTCTCCCTGCCTAACAGAAGGGAAAAAAATGCCCACTGCTATCATGAAGTCAGTAGCTGCTTAAGAAAGTGCCTGAGGCCACAGACAGCTCTTAGTGCCCACATACAAGAACTAGTGGCAAGTTGTTTGCCTTCTTTCTCCTTATTGTACCCCAGCACCTGCTTTGCCCTCTCCCAGCTCGCCCAGTCCTGAAGGGTGCCTGAGGGGTATGGAAGCCTGAGCCCTTCCAAGGGCCAACCTGCAGAGGAACAGTTACTGCCTTTCTCTTACACAGTAGCTCAGTCAATAAAGCATTTGCTCCAGTTTATTTTTTAATCTCTGTTCCTAGCCCAGGGCTGCATGCTTCCCTGGCACGTGGCTTTTTGCTGTCACCTGGAGTTGCACCACTTCGTGGAAGGAACTGAACATGCATTGGCTTACCAAAACTGAGCAGAATTCAGCTGGGTTCCCAAGGTCTGCACCACTATTTAATACTAAAGAGTATTTTATCTGCTGGTTTGTTTATAACTTCTATTTTCAGCTCCTAACTTCAAGTACCCACTGAAATCCAGAGTCCTAGAGTTAACTTCCCAGTCCCAGCCCACTTCAGCTGATCAAACTGTTAACAGGAAATGCAAGTAGAGGCAGCCTCTCAAGTTTACATTTATTAGGAAAAGAAATCTCATTTAGTACCAGGATTTTGAAGTTCTTAAATCCCTTCTGGGGGCTGCTAAGCCCTACACTTTAAAGATCACATTTATCTCAAATCTTAGCAGTACTTCTTCAGACCTGTTCTTAAGGAAATGCCTGCAGGGCAGAAGTTTTCAGGTGTGCAGTGGGTACAGCCCTGGGACTTCAGGCAGCCTTTGCAAAGGTGGTGCTTGCAGCCCTAGTTCAAATTAGGCTGATGGAAGTTCATCCTCCTGACTAGCAGTGCTAAGATATGTCTCCAGGAGGACATTTCTGTGCAAACTGGCTCAAGGTTCAGGTGTGAACTCCTAATTGGAAGGAAAAAAAACCCCATGGTTTTCAAATACATTTAATGAATAAAATGTATACCCGTTATTCACATAAAAATAACTTTACAATTCAGAAGTCATACAGCTGACAAAAAAAGAAGTAACATGGTTGCCATCAAAAAATATGACGTCCAGGAACACCCCAAAAAACCAAAACCCCAAACTAAGCCCCCCGTGATTTTCACGTAACCTGACCTTCACACAAAGGCTTTTACCATCACTTTCCTCATAATGAGCAAAAAGTACCATTTTACATGCAGTGGTGTTGAGTTTTCAGGTATGTGTTCAGTCAGTAAGGGATTAGATTATACAGCAAACTTTACATTTTGGAACTCTGTTCAACTCTTGCCATGGCAGCAAGATACAAAAAGGCACAAGGTACTCCCAGTTTAGAAAAAAACACAATTATTCCCAAGAGCTGGTCCTCCAAGGTTAATGCTTTTTGTTGCATAGCTCGATGCTGCTGAGCTGTGTTTCCCTTCTGCTGTAGTGGGTGCCTCTTACAAAAGAGAAAGCAAAACAATGGTATATTTGGTATTAAAAGTAGTAAGTATTAAGAGTATTAATACTAGAGTATTGAGCTGTATTTAAAAGATGGAAGGATCTCCACTACTGCAGGTAAATGTCTTTTTAATGGCTACTTCTCCTTAGCCACTCTTCTCCTATGCAATTACACTTTGCTAATACAGTACAAAACCAATTAAAATCATGAGCTAAGTTCTATATGAGTACAGTGTTAGATCTTTAAATGGATTTACTGTAAATCTCAATCTATTTTCATGTCCACCTGCCAGACACAATGGATAACAAGGAAGATTAAAAAGGGATAACTGAAATATTCTGCCCCTGCCAGGGAAGGGAAA